AGTACAGAGTGTTAGGTGTTTTTTAGACTTCTCTCTGTTTGCAGTGTGGACTCAATTTCACCGCTTGTCATCAGCAGACAGGGATGACTTATGATAGAGTTGTGCAATAAACTGTGTGTGTGTGTGTGTGTGTGTGTGTGTGTGTGTGTGTGTGTGTGTGTGTGTGTGTGTGTGTGTGTGTGTGTGTGTGTGTGTGTGTGTGTGTGTGTGTGTGTGTGTGTGTGTGTGTGTGTGTGTGTGTGTGTGTGTGGTGATTGAGAACAGGAGAAAGCAACTACAGGCTTACAGAACATTAAGAAAACAGTTACTTTAAACTTGGGGGAGATACGGTATTTGTAAATCCACTGAAGCATTATAGTACATGCAGCACATTTAAATTTGCCAATTAATCTGTCCCAGTTATAAAACTGGCAAGACACGATTTATCTTTATGATGTACAGTTTAAATGTTTAGTTATCTTATCTAATTAGTCTGTGTTGTTCCAAAATCTATATTTGAACTTGCGAAACAACGAAGAGAGATTTTTAACCAAAACCAGCCTCTGGCTTCGTAATGTCTGCAGATCTGCGATTGCAGTGCCAGAAGAAACATTGTGAACATTCCAATGATGAATAAGCTATCCTTTTACTTACCTTATGAATGGATACAGTCACTGAAACATTAAACAATATCACGAATGTTGCATACTGAAGACGTGCGTTTGAGTCACTAAAAGGGAAGTAAGACAAACATATGACAGGCAGATCAGAACTGACATGTTCTATAGGAGTATGGAATAGCCTTGAGACACTCGGTATTGTTCAGAGGGCTCGATTTGAATTTAGCCGGTCATTCCTTCAGACAAAAGGGCCGTGGGCAAAAGGCCAAACGAACAAAAAGGAAAAAGGGAGGCAGGGACAAGAAAGAGTTGTGACATCTCAGGCACAAATTTTTTTTAAATTACACCTTTTTTTTGAAGGTATTTTTGGGCCCGAGGGCCTTTATTGGAGATGTTAGAGTTGAAAGGGGGACACAGAAGGGAGGACATTGCCTTACTAGGCATCGTTGACCACATGTGTGGACATACACTCAACTTTTTTAACACTTTTGTGTGCCTGCCAACAACTCAAAAGACAGAGCGGTAAAGATATCAAGGGAGAGATAATTGTTAGGATCAAGATGCGTAGTGGGAAGTCGTGATGAAAGTTGAGAAAGGCGGGAGAGTTGGTGGACAGAAGGTAACGCCATGGAGCAGCTGCTGCTAGGAGAACACAAAGATTGATAGAAAAGAGGGGAAAGACGGTTGACTGTAGCATATCTAAATTCTATTGAGGCAGAACAGCAGGCCTTATGTAAGTATCTATTAGTTTGGGTGAGCAAGCGATAAAGTATTTCACTGCAGCGAGACCGAGCTGCGCAACAGGAGTTTCCTTTCCTCTTGATAAGTGAAAGTTTGTTTTCCTGTCTTAACGTCAGATGTACAGTATACAACCTACTTTAGCACAATTTGACACAACAAATATGTCAGGATGTATAATATAATATGTAATGCAACATAGTATTTTGTAGCTAGTTCTAACTTTGTTTATGTAACATTACTTCTGCATTACTCTGCAGAGCAGAAGACATGCCTTCATGCCTTACTTGTGAAATGGATTTAGCTTCTCTTCTTCACTGCATAACAGCAGATGATTCATGTCTTATTTGTTTATTGTACACAGACATGCAGAGCACATATTTCAGCCATTAGCTTCTTCCAGAGGCTCTCATTAGAGTTAAATAATGAATGATTCAGAGCCGGTCCCAGAGCTGCACCGTGAAAAATAAAAATAAATAGGTTTTTTTTCCTACTAGATCCTCACTCCTCCATACACCTCTCACTCAGGGCCCAGTAAAGCGGTAATATGAGATGATAAGCCATCTGCTTCTATGTTCCGCAGTTGTAAACTGTCTATGTAGCACATAACCTAGTTCCTAAGGGTTACTGGCGGACGTGCCAGATGCTTGCTCGTGTCCTGATCTGACCCTTCCCCCTCACGACTCCATTCATTGAGGATGACCTTTCACCTCAGCCTGTGAGTGCGAGAGCATTAACCTCTTGTAGTCTGGAAGGGAGGAAAAATGGGAAACCAGAAAGGATGATAATACTGCATCAAATTCTGAAGACGTTTTTTCAAATAATGATGATTCTGCACTGCTAAACATGTGCACTAAATGTTTTATCTTTAAAGAAAAAAGAAAAACGAGCACCTGAGAAGAAGCCGGCTGTTCCACTCGGGATGCCATGTCAGCAGTCTGGATGTGGGTTGGACTTCCTAGACTGGTGTGGGGGCGGGTAGCTGTTCCTCTGACTCTGACCTTCAACAACCGTCTGTAATGTCTCCTTTGGGAGAAGGGGATTGGTGGTGGGGTGGTCTGAGGGGGTTGGAGAGGTGATGGACTCTGCTACAGCCTGCCTGCCTCGCCTAAACCCTCATGGTGACTCTTAACAGACTCAGTCAAACACTGGCCAGTAATTATGTCCAAAACAGAGCCGGCTTTTTCCTTCTACCCGCCCCCCCCCGCACTGCAGTTGGTTTTGCTGGTTTCTTGTTTATGCAAACTCTGTTTGCTATTCATGTGACCCGACTGTGGTGACAGTGTACCTGACCAAGGACAGATAAGAACGAAAAGCATTTCACATCAAAACAGAACGCCCCCTCCCCTCTTCATCTCGTCAGACCTCTTTTTTTGTGTTAATTTAGGCTGGTCTTTGTTCTGTTATCGGTGTCCTGGATCCCACACTGATGAGTATTGACAGGTAGAGCGAGCTCTGCACTAGGGTGTGAGTGAAAAAGAGACAGAACAAGGAAAAGAGAGACACGCACACATAGAGGCAAGGTTGACCAGAGGTGTTTAAATATACAGAGTAGCTTTGAATGCGTTTACATGAATATGCACATGATGTGAGCGAGGGAATGTTTTGGTTCCGCCTCTTTCTTTCTTTTCTGCAAGATCTTTGCCCTGACTTGTCTAAATAGAGTGACACGCGTTCCTGCATTTGCAAACTGACGAGACGAGGTGTGAAAGCACTATGATATACGTGAGAAACAATATGTAACTGATACACTGGTGGATGTAAAACACATAGAGGTGAGCAACAGCTTCATAGTCAAATCTCTTCAAACATATGTAATCCTGTAACACAATGGCAATATTATGTTAGCTGTTAAAGAGCGAAGGAAAATAAATGGTTTTGTTGACATGATCTGAAGCAGGGCACAAAGTGCAGATATGCACAATGGGTCACACCCCCTCACACATATGTACACACACACACTGAGAAGTCAAACACAGCACTGCCACTGAAGCCATTAAATGAAGGCCTCACACTGCAGTCCCAAAGTGTGTCAGTGTATAGTTATTGAGTAACTTGGTGAATTCATTGGCACTGAATTACTGTTTCTTTACTACAGTCCATTTTCAAACTGCTCTATACATTTGTGATGAATACCACATGTGCATTATACATCTGGATAACAGCTGGAATAAAGCAGGCATAATCAATTCACCAAATGAGGTGAATACTAGAAAGGTTGAAAACAAAATGTGAATAATTGCTTCGAGGAGAAAATATATCCTCTTGTCGACAACTGCAAAACAACAGCCAATATAAGCAGGGTAGAGAATGGGAGTTAATCTTGAAGGTCAACAAAGAGGCACGGCTAATATGACCACACTGTTATATCATGTTGTGCAACGTCTCTCAGCGGCTGTGTCGCGTCAACTCAGAGCTTTATTGTGGTGCTGAGATAACCACCATCAACATGCTGTGAAAAAGAGATGTTTCAAACTTTTAAATCTGGTTAGGACCTGGCTAGAGAGGTGAGAACAGCAACCTTGTTGTCTGTATTGGGTATACACACTTTAAGAGAAGTAGATTCAACACCCCTCTAGTTTAAAAAGCATGCTCGGTCTTGCATGCTCCCCACAGACACTCCCTCATGTCATACATGACCAGCGGCACGTGAAGTTCACTTGATGACAGAACGCTGGAAAGAAATGTGGCGTTTAACCCCCCAACCCCTACAGACCACACCCATAATCAATCATAAGCTCCGCAGTTGAAATTTGTTTTTAGTTTTTACTCTTCTACTGGCAGAAGTACTGTTAATGTGTAAGGGCCGTCTGACTGACAGACAGGCAGCATCTTGCCACAGACAGTAACCAATCGCTGCATAAAATGAAGGAAACTGTGCTCAGGCACCGCCTACAGTCTCTCAGTGCTCCGTACTGTTACATAATCACTTATCAGTGCACTAGGCTTGTCCCTGGATGCATGTTCTGCTTCTTCCGTTTGAAAACAGTGTGTATGTGCATATAAGGTTGCCTAAGGACTGTCAAATAATGTTCCATGTCCAGCAAAAACTCCCTGCACATGAAACATGAAACAAAACACACACAACAAAGCTCGCTGTATGACAAACGCATCACACTGATAGATGCATTAGCATGGCTGTCGAAAGATGGTCAACAACAGGGATTAAGTATTAAGCTTAGAAGTGAAGCAAGGTAAGAAACCTGAAGGAAAAAAAAGATTTCCTGAGTGTAGAAAGCTGATTTAACCGTAAACAAAAGCGACACTGTAACTATCTTGTTCTTTTGCTACTTTTTCCAAGTGATTGTGCAATCCTGTGCAATCCTGGCATTCATCTCCAGCTCTGGCTCTCTTAGGGCATATTTTGAAACTATTCTGGATAGAACACCAAACATGTGGTCAGTTGACCAGTACACCCCCGCACCATTCATGCTCAAACCAATGCACAGCTTTAGCCAGATGCTGAATTCCACTTTTAGTCAACACTCTGTCAAGGAAGGCCTGGAATCGAGTATAAGATTTTTCACCACAAGTTCTGTGTCAAATTAGCTCCTGTACAGAGCTGAATAGAAATAGGAGCCATGCACACAAAAATAGTTTTGGAATGAATCCAATAAATATACAAGAGGGGTTGATGCCTTGATGTCATCAGCAACTTCGTACCTGTTTCTGGGGACGGGGATGTGGGAGGAGGGAAGGGGTTGTATCTCTGACGGTGGGATGATCCACTCTTGTGCTGCTCTGAAGTTGTTGGCCAGCTCTGCCTGTTTCCCTGGGTTCCTGATGTCCAAGTGCATGAAGACGCCTGGCGACTGCCCATTTGTGCCTGGGCAGTGAGTAGGACTGGCCCTCTTCAAGATCCCAGAGGAACCCGTGTCTTTCTGCTCCCCCAGGCCAGTCTAGGAAATGAACAACACATTCAAGTCAGTCTATCATTTTAAGGCCAATTGGCATTTCTTCTACACGAGAAGCTTAATAATGGGATATGTGATAGAAGGAAGTTTAACAAATTCAACATCTAAAAGCTTCAATGCACATATACAAATATATTGACATGGATAATTAGATTTCCCACAGAAACCCTAAAGTGAAAACAGAAGCATGGCATCCGATTAAAACAAAATGTATGAGAGCGATGAAGGGAAGTTAAGCGACTAACATGACTGTATTGATTAACTGACATATTGAAAGTACCTTTAATGAGAAATAGGATCATAACAAATATAACTTTATTTTTGCATATTATATTATGTTCGTTTTGTATTGAGTGTAAATTCATTTGCAGCTCATTTGGTGTTAAATGGCTAACTACAGAGTCTATAAAATTTTTAAAAATAGCATTACATTATTCAAGTGCTTTGTTTTTTCAAACCAACAGTCCAAAAGCGAAATATTTTTTGTTCATTTGGACGGATTAAAAACAGCTAATCATCAAATATAACTCATCAAATTGAACTAACCTTTAGAGCTTGTTATTCTAAAGTTCATTAACAACACCATTGAAAAAAAGCTAGGGTCCATACATAAGTGCCTTCACACTGCCGTGTTAAAATAAACAAGCAGCAGTTTGTTATAAACTGCCATCTGATCCATATCAAAACCAGGCTTGGCAATTCGTCGTCTTGGCATATATGATGTTGCACGGTAACTGAATGACATGGTTACATTACTGACTCTGGTACTGACTCTGGTGCAGGTAAGCACCGGATCGATAAGCGGTATCGATAAAAGTAGTAGTAGGCCTACCGTTAAAACCTTAACGATACCCATCCCTAGTCATGTGGATGTCAGTTTTACGCACATTCTGAGGCCGCCGTGCCTATGTTTTTGTTTTCACTGCTAGTTTATGCTTATGTTCAATTAGTGCATTAAAAAATCATTAATGAAGTTTCAGCTCAGACCCCACGCTTAATAAGTCTCCCCCTGGCCCACCTACATTTCTCCAGGCCCACCCACACAATAATTCCTGTAAGCAAATATAGTGTAAACACTATGCAAACAAAAACCCTGCTGCATATGATAAAACTTGAAACATATCACAGTTCTATCATGGACTATTACTGGTTCTGTGGTGTGTTCAGGGCAGAGCCGGCCGGGCCGTGCTGTGCAGCCAGGAAGCCTGCTGTAGCTCCACCCTACAGTTATGGGGGAGGGGGTTTGGCTAGTAGTTTGAAGTCCCTGCCCCCCTTTTCTGTAAACTTTGCACACAGAATGCTCCGCCATTTAAAGCGGTTTTGATACGACGTTATTGCTTGTAAGCGAGCGTTGACAGCAGTCGGTGAAATGACTGTCACAAACAAAGTGGGTGAAGACGGTACTATACACAAAACAACATAAAAATAAAGAAGTGACGTCAGTGTGAGCTTCACTGTGACATATTTCAAAATGCAATAACGGCGTGAGAGACCTGTCAAACTTATAAGTAAACAACGTAATGACACAACGTTGCATGCTTGATAGTATCTGCGCTGCAACTTGGGTGCGCACAGATGACTTTACCGGCGAATGGAGTCGCGCGTACAAAGTTAACGTGAAAAAAGGCACTTACTTTTTCTACCTCGTGCAATATTCGTCCATTCCCTTTGGGAGAGGTTCGCTCGCCCTTAACCCCCGACACCGAGCCGCCGTCCATTAACAATTTGTAAAAGACGGGCCCGTGTGTGTACACCGGCATGGGACCGTTTTTCTCCGCCGTGGGGACCCGGGTGTCGCACAGCACGGAGCGGCCTGGCCGGTAGTTAAAATCCGCCCCACCGACCCTTGTCCCAACCGACGTCTGCTCCAAAATATATCTGGTATCCATACTCAGACAGGGCGAGGAGAAACTAAAGAAAGAAAACCAGCTTTCTATAGATTACAGTGCAAATTGCTGGAGTTTGATACATTTAACTGGATTGTCGCAAATTGATAGATATTGTCCTAACTTCTGTACTAGTCTACATCTGAAGTTTGCCACCACTGCTACCCAGAATATCGAAAAAGCCGACGGTCAGGAGGATAAAAGATTGTTTTGCCTCGTTCCTCCAAAAGAATGCCACGCCCCCCTTACTGTGCTCCTATTGGTCGGCTGCGTACATAAACATTGCACTTTGGCACGCGTCCACAGCGAGGCGGTCTCTGATTGGCTGATTTGGTTGTGTCAATCAAACTTTTATCTAATTCGAGTCATTTGGTTGGACGAGGGAAGGGGGCGTGTCCTGCAGTTTACCGGCCGGTGTCTGTCAGCGACGAAGAGCCGGTCTGCGAGGCAGGCGAGAGACAGCACAGGAAAAACAGTCAGCCGGCCGCAGAGGCAAACTACGCAGTTATGTTTACTGCTAATCAAATGTTCATTTAATGGATCATCTTTACTCGCCTTAACCGTACATTTAACAGGGTTTTACCTATGAATAAATAGCTTTGGTTAGAGTGTTTACTTTTTCAAAAGTTATAACCCATTCGACAATGTAAGTTATTAATGGTTGTTCAAATGTAAAATGAGTTGTGACTCCATACCATGAAGCTCTGTGCAGGGCAAATGAATGCAGTAAACAGCCCTGCAGTAAATACCGAGGCTTATGAACTAGCCCAGTTTTCTGAGATTGTCGTAAAGGCGTGATTGATTTAAAGTATGATAATATTAGGTTCTGTTGACATTGGCTTGGCTGCAATACAATTTGGACAAGTTAATAGAGATACGTTATTACTGTAATGCATTGTTAGGGCAATTTCTAGTCTCCACATCATTTGTAAAAAAATACAATACTTGATTTACTAATGTGTTCTCTAGGGTCAATACCGAGTTTTAGCAATTTTTTCCAACAGCCTTCTTTACCTAAAACTGGAGTGCTTGTTGGAAATGTGTATCTCGTAAACATGATAAAATAACTTTTTTATTAATAACATTTGTGTTATTCGATTTTCAGTTGTTGGAAGCCCCTGAATGCCTCTTTATTCAACCTAAATGTCTGCACAGCCAAGACTCAAGGTTTATTGCCTAATAAAGCAGATACACATCTTGTTTGCACCCAAGCTGCATTATTGCAAGCTACAGTTAATACCGTGAGGCTGCTACACAGCTGCAACAACTGACACTGTAGTGCTGCTTAATTTGATATCCTGTACAAACATTAAGGGAAAAGACAAACACACGTTATAATGTGCCACTTTATTAGAAAAGTAAAAACTCACTTTAATATTTTATGAAGGTTAATATAAAACATTACAATCTTTTGCATATCTGCACTGTCACACTATATTTTATTATATTCATTATTTTTTCAACTAAACCCTGTGCTTTAAGAATATACAACATTGGCTACAGCTGTCACAGCAGTTTTGGCCCATAATTATATCTGAAGACAATTAACAAACAGCATCTGTATCTGCATGGAAAGCATGAAACATATTGCATCCACAAGTACAATGTGTCTGTGATAACCATCTTTTTTTTCAACAAATATACTGTATACTGTATGTTACATTAGAACAACATCAGAACAGCAACAGAGTATTTTACACATTTACATCATCATACTGTATTTGTTTGTGCAATGAACATCTGTCTCGATCAGTGTATGTAACAGTGTTCAACAATATATATCAGATGAGTGCTTTCGCTCAGGATAAAGAAAATGTGACACATAATGTGACAGCCAGAGAAAAAGGATTAGGTGTGAAAGCGATTTCAAGCCAGCATTGTCTAAGGGAAGCCTCAACAAAGCTTGTAAAGCGATCAGCTGCTGGCCATTTCTCATATCAGACAGTAGTTGAGCTGTTGGTGCATTGTTGATATCAGACTGGGTTTGGCCTGACCCCGCAGCCTCTGCCCACCCCCCTCATATCCCTCCCTGAGTCCCTCAGAACTGGACATCAAAGGCCCCTCCCCTACACAGCGAGGGAGAGGTGATTGGAGAATGAACACAGCTGGGGGAGGGAGAAAATGCAAGGAAGCAAAATGTGCTTCATCCCCTAAACTGGAAACACACATGGCAGTGTGGGCCTGATTTCGTGTGTGTGTGCACGTACGCAAGCAATTACACACCAGGAGGGGGAGGGTCCTTTGGGTCCGTGTCCATTTTCAGTTATCCAGTTTTACTAGCTGTTCTTCGTCCCCCTCCTCACCTCTGTCGCTCCTTCTTGTTCCCCCAGAGCGGAAGGATGAACAAGGCTCCGCTCTAAAATCCCAGCGGCTTCTCCCTCACTTTCTATTTCTCTCCCTTCCTCCTCCAGGTTGCTGCTTTGGGAAAATAAACTGAATGCTGCTTCGCATCTCATGGCAAAAAAGTACAACAGAAAATATTAACAAACAAAGAGATAAAATAAGTACCACAATATTTGTTTACATCTCCATATATCAAAGCATGCACTTTTTTTGATCAAGCAGGAAAAAATTGCACCAACAACACAAACGTACTGTTTTCATGGCAGTGGCATGAGCTATAACCAATGGTATTGTCAGTAGGTAAGACAAAATAATCAGTGCATTTAAATACAGAGTGCATTTGTTTTTTTTATATACTTTCTGAAACAGTAGCATTTATCATTGAATTACTAACCCTACTAAACCCGTCTTCTCTTTGCATGGTTGTCTCACAGTGTGCTTTTTCTAATGCATCCTTCAGCTCGGTAAGCATTTTATATCCCTCTTCACCCCTTATCTTTATGCCCATTCACTAAACGTCTGATATTTTGTTTTTATTCCTCTGTTCTTTTTTTAATGTTCCCCAAAGCTACATGGAAAAGACATTGTTTATTATGGAAGAGGACTCGGTGCAGAGGCTGGAGAGAGGGTAGCGAGAGAGCGAGGGGCAACCTTCCAAAGACACTCACTGGTAATTTTCATGCCCAGCTCTTTATTTTCCTTGGAGTCCAAGCCCTATGTTGCTATTTCAACCACCAGACTTTAGTCGGGTGAGCTTTGGGGAGCTCTAGCTATGACTTGAGACCATAGATGCCTTTTAGAACTGTACTTGGAAATGCCCTTTACAGCATGTTAATGAGCAATTAAATTAAAACCCCCGCAGCTATCGAGTGCACAATTATAACGGTCAGAAAATAAGCAGTTTACAGTCCCCAAAGGACATTACATGTTATTAACTGCGCAGGATAAAACATCCTGTATTATTTTGGGCACTCTTTCGCTTCCTTATTTTTTATAAATATTCAAAATGTTCCCAATGATGTATACAGTGAACATTTTGTATTGTGAAATCTGTCACCCGTATCCTTTTGGAGAAGTTATTTCACAACCTTCTCGATGCCCCTGATCTCAACTTACCCCGCATGATTGTGCCAAGTATGTTTGTATCTGAGCTGGGGTGTGTCATCATGCTTCTGGGTACAGATGTTTGTCAAATTGGAGTATTGATTGTTGATTGGATGGAACATTATTAAGTTAAGGGCCGATATTATTAACTGCTATGTAGAGCACAACGATGAACCTTTTTTTTAATTTTTTTAAATGTAGACCATAGCCCTCGCTTACTTCTGTGTTGGAGCAAAGCACCACAATGCTGTCTGCCCGGCAACCGGCCATAGCGACCAGAGAACCTGTTTCAGATGTTTGCTTAGGGAGAGCTAAGCACCACAAATCTCTGTGCCATCCATCTGCTTATTACATAAGTCCCTCCAAAATGAGGCATGTGTGTGTGTGTGTGTGTGTATATGTCTGATAATAGGTAACAGTGTGCCTCTTCCTCTCAATATACCTACAATGTTCCTTGCTACTTTTTTCTATTTTCAGGTGTGTGTTTGCACAATGCATGCACATACATTACTTTTTTAAATATATATATATATATATTAAAGTGTGTTCTTCTCAGGATGTGAGTTACACCACATACTTTTTGAAGAGTACAGTGTTCATATAAAAATAAAGATATTATGGAAAATGATACACAAACAGGTGAGTATGGTCAGTGACACAGTACACTGAAGATGTATATTCCAGTTTTCTTAATCTTTTTTCTTTTGTTAAAACGTATTTGGTCCATATTTGGGCTGGACTAGGCTTAGGCTGGTTCTGAAGTACAGACCAATGTAGGGATGTCTGAACCTGGATTAAGACCCTGTTTGTACCTGATGTCATCACAAAATGGATCCTCATGTTTTTTGTCTATAGAGGGCCTTGTATGTATGTACAGCAAGACGTTGGCAGGTGAACAGGAGGGTCCCTTTCATGACTCTGTACCAGTGGGTCCTGGGCCCTTTCTGCCTGTCAGCCAGCTACAGGCCAGTGACATACATCTCCATCCCATCATTGAAGGTGAAGATGGTGGTGGTGCTGGAGCTGTTGGCCCCTTGTTTCACATCGCTGATAGTCTCGTAGAAGTTTTCCCCACCAGGAACGCCTCTAGGCAGGGCGGTGGGTCCTGAGCCCTGAGGTGCAGCTGGTGCCGCTGGTGCCGCTGGAGCCGCTGGAGCCGCTGGAGCCGCTGGAGCCGCTGGAGCCGCTGGAGCCACTGGAGCCACTGGAGCCGCTGGAGCCGCTGGAGCTGCCTGCTGCGGCGTCTGCTTCTTCCTTTTCAGAGTGGCAGAACCCCCAACTGGGCTGTTATTGGTTCCCCCCTGCTCCCTTTTTCGGTGGGCGTCGATTGTAGCGTACGCGGGGTCAGACTCGGGCCAGGACCTGTCTCCTACCGGCTCGTAACCCGGCTCCTCCTGGGAACGCGCCGGGCCCTGAACTCCTCTGCCTCGGCCCCGTGAACCTCCGCCAAAGGAGCGTGGGAGGGTCTTTGATCCGTTGTTTTCCATGGGAGGTTTCTTCTTCTGGGTTTTACACACAATGGAGTAGGTGTCTGCAATCTGAGAACACACACGAGAGGAGAAAACATTATGGTGTGTCAGTAAAAGATACACACCTACAGTACAATTCTATGTATGGGTAGCAGCTCCAATAAAAGGCCACTCTTATTCTGCCTCATTCACGGCCTTGCACCTATAAGTGCATTTATTCGACCATAACTGATAATACATTCTTAACTTTGCTGTGATTCAAATGAACAGTCACTGTATTAATGTTCACCACCTTTTAGTCAACTTTACTCTTCGTATGTGCAAACTTCCTAAATGTATTTATTTCGGTCTGTGAGTATTTCACAGACCAAAATACAATATTTGAGAGTAAACATACATTGGTGCTAATAGTGTGTGAAAATGAATGTATGAAGATTGATCGTGAGGGTACGTGTGCACTAGTTTGCGCATGTGTTGACACAGCTTGCTCTGTGCGGTAACCTGACCTATTTTGACAGAGTAGGATAAGACAGAGTAAACTGTGTTATCAGTCTGTTGAGGTCTAGGCTGGGATAGAGTTAGCTTTGCAGTGGACGGACCTGTTAACATTTCTCCATAACTGCTTTGGCAACAGACAACAGGGTATGGTGTGAAAGATCTGGATGACAGCCAACTCGCTGTGTTCACTGATGGACTTTGGGCACATACGATTTGCTTTGAATGAAGCCATTGTACATGTTCTTGACTTTATGTGTACGCATGTGACTGTAAATGCATCTACATACTGAACAGTATTTGCATGTGTTTATTGTAGACCTGTGAAAACTGAAGCATGTAGCATTTGATATCGAGGACTCACAACTGAAAGTCATGTTTGAGGTCCTGTGGGGAATTTGGATAAACCGGAGCTGTGACCTCTGGAATTTCTGTGTCTAAATTCCACAAGGGGAGCACAAGAGCAGAGGATTGTGGGACATGGTCATGTTTACTTTCAATGTTCACACCCATACCAGCAGATCTGCTCTAGCGGCTCTGAGAAACACTGGCTATGCAAACTCTCTCTCCTGCACACACTCAAAGATCAGCCTTGTTTTTGTTCCACTCCCAAAAAAACTGAAACCTGAGAGCTTCGACAATGGCGGAGAATGCTTTCTGTGTGTGCGTTCACATTGCCTTCACTTTCACAGTTCCTTTACATAAATGTCTCATATGAGGAAAAACAAAACACTGATGTAGCTGTATAGGGTAATACATTTGCAAAGCACTGCGTATCTCTCTCTCTCTGACAGACACATAAACCCTGCCCCCACAGATCTCTTGTGTGACCCTTTTTGGATAAACAAAGACCCTGGCGTATGCTACAAGTGTGTGCACACAATGTGCTGAGTGTGTATGTGCAAGTGTGTGTACATGTGTGCACCGAGAATTTGCAGCGCTGTGCAGCAGAGGAAGGAAGTCACAAGATGATGGGGATTTCAGAACTGGGCTGCAGCTGTTGAGGAAGCCTGTGCATTGTGTGTTTGCTTTTCTCCTCCCCTTCACCCATGCTCTTTTCTGTTATGATACTACTTTAGCTCTGTGCTCAAACCAGGACTTTAAAAAGTCACATTTCATTTCAGTTTACACAGATTATCCATGGAAACAACTATGTGCATGACTATGACTGATAAATCTGTTTGTAGTCAACTGTGTGAATTGCTTATTTGGCAAACGTTTCCAAAAGGTCTGCTAGCAGCCGATATTCCTCTTGTGAGACAAGCTTTGTGCAACGTGATTGGTTGAAAAAGGCAGCGCCTCCTAATAGCAGAAGTAGAGTGCCAGAGGAAAGGAGCAGATCTAGGTGGGAGTGGAAACTCAACACCTTTCTGACGGCTGCCTGCAACTGACAAACTCCAGAGGATACAAAGTATATGGGCATGTTAGGGCAACAACAAATGTACAAATGGAAAAACACAGCGGCTAAGAGAGAGAAAAGTTTGGTAAATAAAAAACACTGATAAAGAAAGAGATTGCAGAATGCAGTAAAGGCCAGCTGCTTTGTGTGCCCGTCTAATTTTCAGAGGAGTTGAACTCATGAGCCAAACAGCAGGGATTTAACCCCTTAATCTCCACATACAGCTTCAAATGCTTTGCCTCAACACTGGCTTAGACAAGAAATTTAGCAACAGATTAAAACTCTGGCTTCCAGAGTAAATACAACTAAACATAATGTCCTTCTCCTGTAGATTATCTTCTAATAGATCCTGTGAACAATACATTCATTCTCTGGTTTATTAATCCTAAAACTACTACCAACAAAGTTATTGACATGGAAGTAAGCCTTCAGTGAGCTGATAAAGATGATAATAAAAAGGGAAGCTAAGTTAAGCATGGACTAATATTAGACAGTGGACTATTTTGGGGACACACCTCCATCTACTCAGAATAGCTTCACCCTGGCATGCCTTAAATTCCCCAACTGCTTGTATCTCTTTGTAGGTTTTATTGTGTCCAGTAGTTATGTGAGATGACTGGGGGGTGCAGACTTCCCCCTCTCTCAACACCAAACAGACTCTACCATACATATTTACCTAAATGTGCATAAATATATATAGGTCAGTTTGTAACCCGCATCCAAGATCACACTCTGTCTGCATACGCTGACAAGGCAAGACAGTTAACCTTTAACAAACATCTCTATAAATACAAAGTGACACTTCATTAATTTTCAGCCGGTGATACCAATGTCCAATGCGTCTGGTGAGTTGTGAGTTGGAGACATATAGATGGTGGGGGAGGGGGCTTGGAGATTTGGGTCAGGGTTCAGGCAGGCGGTTGGGAAGGCTGGGTCCATGTAACGTTAGCTCTGGCCGTAAGCAGAAACTTCGTATGACAGGCAGGTCACAAGGTGGCAGTGTTATGACGGCGTGCCCAATCAAAAGGGCGCCCCCGTCAGTAAACACAGCAGTCACAAATCAGAGAGCTGTCTGTCTATCTGTCTGCCTGTAGACACACACACACACACACACACACACACACACACACACACACACACACACACACACACACACACACACACACACACACACACACACACACACACACACACACACACACACACACACACACACACCCACACACACACACACTTATAGTACCTCCTTTGCAGTGGGGGGTGATGGGTGCCCCTGTACACTCTCTGCGCGGAGTGGAGGAGGGTGCAAGGTGATGATGTCATCTTCCTCTGGAGGCTTCCAGATGTACTGCTCCCCATTGCCCATGAACACTGGCTCCTGGTAAGCAAAATCAATTGAAGAGGCCAGGTGAGTAATGGCATCTGGAAGTCTTTGTTCAGAAGCAAGTCACACAATTAAACTGACACAGTGCAGCAATTTTCAAAACATGTTTTTACATGTATGACAAGTTTTGGTGTGTCTGACTGTGTGTCTGTGTTTATAGGTACACAATGACCATGTTGCACAGCATTAGGGAAATGGTGTGTGTGTGTGTGTGTGTGTGTGTGTGTGTGTGTGTGTGTGTGTGTGTGTGTGTGTGTGTGTGTGTGTGTGTGTGTGTGGGGGGGGGGAAAGTAAGAGTTTATTAAACCCCAGTATTGTATTTGCATATATATATATATATATATATATATATAACATACTTAAAAAAATAAGGTGTACATTAACTGCTCTCGTTACTTTTTCATCACTTCTGGTGTTAAAAAACAATTAGAAACCAATTAGAAAAAAAACCAATTAGAAACCAATTAGAAAGAATGTAGTAGTGTGTGCACATGTGACAGAGGAATATTAAACTTTGATTAGCTCCCCCTGTGCAGTGAGGCTGAGTAATAGAAGCAGGGGCACAGCAAATGGCTTCAACATGTGAACATTATTTATCCCCACACTGGCTGCTGGCTACCTGTTAGCCATTTCTAGATAGACTTGCTGATAGATTCAACACACACACACACACACACACACACACACACACACACACACACACACACACACACACACACACACACACACACACACACACACACACACACACACACACACACACACACACACACACACACACACACACACACACACACACACACACACACACACAGAGGCTTTTTGGTAGTCTGCCAAGCTCTTACATAATCCATCCTTCCACTCTTTACTCTGGGCACTCTAATACTGTGCTGCAAAGCACACTGCAAAGAGGCGAATGGGCGGTATAAACACATACGCACAAACATGCACATACATGCACACTCACACACCGTCAAGGATTTAGCAAGCAAAGATAAAAAGGTCAACAACTGGGCAGACATCCACAGCCAAGTAAAAACTGTTTAAACAACGTTATCAAGCTCCTAAAATCACTAAAGGGAAAGACAAAGTCACCTGTTTTATGCTCTGCCAAACACACACTCACACACACAGTACCGCACGGCAATACACACATACATAAAAACTGGATATGTGTGCCAACAAATCCACAGGAAAGGCTGATCACCATCCGATCATTGTCCCTTTATTTCCCTCTCAGAACTGCCCTAAACTGTTTACAAACACATCCAGCTGGCACACACAACTCCATTATGCATGTAGGGAACTATAATCGGAGACAACATCTTAAAAACAAGATATTAAGGTTGGTTTATGTTTGTGAAATTCTATTTAACCTATTTTATTTTATTTGGGGTTATTTTGTTTTGAAAAACTGAAAATATGATGACACATACAATGACTATACTTGATCATTGTAAAGTATAAATGTGTGATAAAAGCAAAGATAAGCCATCAGGTTCTGTAAATTGGAATATAAAGAGTTGTTTGTTTGCAGACAGTGCCCTCTGGTGGTAACCATACTGAGTTACAGTTTGGTAAGGTGACTTGTTAGGGGATTTGATGCATAAAGCTTTGTACAGAACATATTGATCCGATGATTCCTGTACCTTCGGGAAGGTTTGCAGGTGAAACGGCTCCAGTGCTTTGCGCGGAAACTCCTGACTGCGATGAAGTGGAGGAGGAGCTGTAGAGGGTGAATCACTCACACTCGATTGGTCTGAATGGCTGTCAGCACCGTTATTTTCCTTCCTGTTTGTCTTGACGACCTTGAAGTTTTGAGTCACCAGTGGAAACATCACTTTCAGTTATAGAATACAGCTAAAAGCCCTGTATCATACATGTAAAAGTAGTTCAAAAAATAAAAAATGTAACATTTTAAGTTCATATCAAGCAACTTTTGTTTATCTTTGATATCTGTCTCCAAAATGTAAATATAAACCGTTGTCTGTTATGATGCACTTTTAGATAATTTATATTTATTCCCAGCCAGACAAGCTCATGGATGCCTTTATATCTCTCTGTGCCAAAACCAACGGTTTGGCAAATATAGAACTGCTCCATTTAAAGTAAATAAAAAACACTTTCTCTAACACTGTATACATTCTTCTAACAGTTCTTCTTAAGATGACAAGTTATTTCTTTCTTGCTGCTTCCACCATTCTCTACCACTCAAAATGGTGTTGCAATACTTCTATTTTCAGCCACAGTTGACCATATCAATCAGAGTACACAGTTCTTCTTCAGACTGATTCATTTCACACAAACACTACTTTAGTAGCGCTAAATGCTTGATTTGATAACATCACTTATCATGCATATCAGCATACCAGATCAATTCCATCAAATCTAATGACCCAACTTTCAATTTCACTGAATCAGGTGATGTTATCTTTCGATTTTTGTTTGACGGTGTCATGTTACAGCCTACATATACAGTACAGCAACATCTGTGTTTTGTTTTAGTACACAATACACTTCTTGTTGGTATGCTACAGTATCACAAGGAATCCATGAGTTGATTTAAGTCTGAGAAAAATAAAACTTCCATTAAGGGCGCCACCACCACTACTAATTTAACAGAATATACGATTTAATAAAAATCTAAGTCAATGTTACCTTTCTGAACTTCCGTATGGAAGCGTACTCTGCTGGAGTTTGATCTTGGATGGCGAGAGAGTTGACAGAAGACAGAGGGGACCTGTTGACCCCATTCCCACCATTACCTCTTCCTGCCATCGTCCCGTTAATGACGCCATTACCTCTGCCGTTCCCTCTGCCACCCTGTAGGAAAAAAAGACAAAGAAACACACAAGTTATAAGCTTACCAGAGATGTCAGTTCCTCACAAATATTTGTGACGATGCAGAACACACAGCAGCTGCAGCTCGAACACTTAAGAGCCACACACACACACGAGTTGATGATGATGCATGCCATCCACAGGCAAACAAAGAAATAACTGTTATAGCCGTCACACTAAAATCTAAAATATTGCTGCTATTACTATGCTTTTCTGCAGGCAACAGGTTAGCTTGGGTTAGACTTGTGAAGTAATGACCATATATTTACCCTTGGAGATCATTTTCTGTCTAATAAATATGAATCACTGGGTGTGAGGCACTTCACATTTTCACATTCAACTCATGATACAGGTTTACAGGATCTGTGTGTATGTACGTACATTCACATGACCGTTCCCATTGCGAGCTCCGTTGGCCTGAGCGGGGGGGCTTTGGGCCGCTCTGATTGTAGCCGGAGTGCTGCTTGAGGAGGGCGGCGGGGCGGAGGGGACCTTGGGGCCTGTGTCACCTTCCCGGACACCTACGCTTTCATACAGCCCGTCATCCAGGCAGTGGGTGGGGGTGGGGTTGTTGCGGATGCCCACCTCAGTGTAGGTGTGGTCTCGAGTCTCCCCTCCTACTACTACTACTACTCCTACTCCTACTCCTCCTCCTCCTCCACCTGCGCCACCTCCCCCATCTCCTCCCGTTTCCCCTCCTCCCCCCTGACCAGATCCCGTGGGACTGGTGGGGATCTGGGGAAGCTGGCGCCCATGGGAGGGTCTTAGGTCGTTCTGCGAGCGCCGACTGTGGAGCAGCAGGAGGTCCATGCTGGCTGGACGGCTCTTGCCAACAGCTGCACAGAGAGGAGGAGGAAGAGGAGGAAGATGGCGGATAAGAGGGAAGCACTGAAATAGTGTCATGGTTGTATAATATCTTGTCACTAACGGTCACTCATCACTTACAGTTTCCATTGCAGGGAAAGCGGTTGATCTCATGCAGCCTGGTGTCAGACTTGCTCATGGAGTTCAGTTTTGGGTGTCGAAGGGAACCCTGCTGTCACACACATATGAACACGTTAGTGATACATAAGGTGCATCTATTTTTCCAACCAGCTATTTAGGGAAAAAGTCGACATGAATAGTGCAGAAGGAGATTGCGACAGGGTAGATATGGAGAGAGGGAGGAGGGAAAGAGGGAGTAAAATGAAAGCATGTCTTACCATATTTACAGATGTCCCTTTCTCTCCGGCTGGGGGGTGCTTGCTCTTGCTTTTTCTGTCACAACATCAAAGAGAGGAAGGTCAACAGGAGCCGGTGGACAGAGAGAGAACATACACACTCAGAACAGAAAGATACTATCAGCATCTAACTTTGATCGGGGCATAAAAGTCCTTGGTTTATATCAAGAGCCCAGTCAAACAGAGAGTGGAGCATGACTCAGGGTTTTGCCAATGCGGAGGATGTCCTTTGATGACAAACTTTTGTGTTTCTTTTCATGATAAGACCAAGCAGACTCATACATATTATTTTGTAGTGTCCCTATGTGAATTCCCTTTACTATCCTGTGGTATTAATCCTGTGCAACAAAGTATCCGGAGTGGTTTAACGCAGCAACGTGGATCCCTGGAGGTGGCAGTAGCTATGGGAACCTGTTGATATGGTGAGAGAGTGACGAGATGAAGACAAAAGCTCCTGGGTGAAGGTGTGAATGTGACAACTGTTCTTCTTCTCAACACATGAGTTCCTAGTGCTGCATATTTAGCATTATGGTGCTTGGGGCAGAAATTATAGAAAAATCTTCAAATTATACACTTTTCTCAAAATATAACTGAACATATGACGGTACATGGTCAGTTGTTTTAAGTCCATGTCACTGCAGCTAGCTTTAGTTTCCCTGAGCTGAAACTCACTCCTTTTCGCACAAACAGATGGGGCCCATGGGAAAGGCTCCTCTTATCGCCATCGTTCATAATCTCATGAAACAGCAGAGGTGTTAAGATAAAAGTGCCATGAACGGATAAAGATGTATAAAGACGTTTTTGACTAATATCTTGCTCGATATCTGTGATCCTAAGGGGGATTTTTTAAATCAATAGCAGAAAATCAATAGTAGGTCTATCCTTTATTTGTACCTGACAAAGTTATTCTTAAACTGATTAAGCCTCTTAACATGACGTATATCCTTCTGGTGGCATTTACTTCGTTCTTTAGATCTTAACATTAGTGTGGTTTTATGTCCATGACATGAGCCGGACTGACATTTCTCTACATCCTTATCTGTGTATCCCATGGCAACAAAGCCACAGTGCAGCATATGATTGGCCCCAGAGGGTTCTGAAAAAAATCACAGGATGTTCCATTGCTCTCGCCTGGCTCGGAGTCTGATCCTCTCTAAACCGCAGGGGTGCTCCATTGCTTTTGCCTGCTGAGGACTGTACTTTAGAGGGGTGATGTGAGGCTGCTCGGACTCTGCCCATGTCTCCTCAGTGTCCTGTAAACATCATTTCATCTGATCTGACACTCGCAGCAATTAACATTCATTACTGCCACTCAGCTCAGAGCAGGGGATAAAAGAGGCAGAGAGGGCGGATGGAGGGAAGAGAAAGAAGGGAGGAGAAGAGTTCAGAAGTAGTAGAGGCACATAAAAGAAGGAGTGGATGATGAGAGTGATCTGGGAGGGCAAATAAAGCTGGCAGCAGAGATGATAACACTCTCTTCTTCTTTTTTCAGTGAGCCCTCTACTTTTTTTTTTAAAGTAATGTGACAGCCCTCTTACTTTTGGCAGCCAACGCAGACAAGGACAATAAGGATGGTGACCACAAAGGCGGACGCCGCCGCGATGGCTCCCAGGAGCAGCAAGTTTTGGTAGGTAGTGTTCGGGAGAACTCCATCTCCTTTGTCCTCCATGACACCCACTCCCTCTCGCTTACTCACTCACTTCCGATCAAACTCAAAATCCGCCACACAGACTGTCTGCTCAGGAAAACCTGCAGAGACAAGGGTTGAGAAAGAAAGGAAGAAAAAGACACAACATATGAGTGACATGTGAGATAAGAACAACCTGAAGAAATGCTGCAGAGAGAGATGAGAATGGTGTGTGTGTGTGTGTGTGTGTGTGTGTGTGTGTGTGTGTGTGTGTGTGTGTGTGTGTGTGTGTGTGTGTGTGTGTGTGTGTGTGTGTGTGTGTGTGTGTGTGTGTGTGTGTGTGTTTGGTGTGCCTCTGGCTTTTTGTCACTGTCTCTTTCTGACATATCAGTTTCTATTTTTGACTCACTAAGACAATAATGCACAGGAAATAGAACACCTTACAAGGCAGCCAGTATGAACGTGCCAAAAGAAGGTTTCATCACACTGCTTCTTTTTGGTGTTAAAAAAAGATCAAATGATACCGTAACATTCATTTGACTAGCAGGAGAGATTCTAGTGTTAGTTAAACAGGAAAAACCAGCTGAGCTCCCCAGAGAAGTGTCTTGCTGTCAGAAGGACTAGATCTAGTGCTGCTACACTTGATTTAGTGACAGCACAGTTATTTTTTCTCTTCAATAAATGTGGCTCAAACACTCAATAACATGTCTATCTTTTACAGGGGTACATGCTGTACTACCAAAAAATAAGCACTTTCCCCTCACCCTAAATACTTCTACCTCGCTGACACACAAGGGCAAATAAACCATCTATAACAATCCACTCCTCACACACACACACTCAGTTTATATCATATTCCTGCACTACTTGGATTTATTTAGACATATTTTTTGACTTGTTCTCAGAGAATACTGCGCGTTAGATTTTAAAGGAATAGTTCTGGAAAGATACGCCTTTTTGCTTTGTTTCTGAAAGTGACATGTCAGACCCACTTGTGTGTAAAGTACACAGCTGCAGGACAGTATACATAAAGTGGTACATTTTCACAAAAAAGCACTGTGTTTAAACGTAGAAAGACCTGGTGCAACTGGCTCGTGAAGTATAGCCTCCATAATGTCACTTAAACACATCATTTGTTCAGTTTGAGGAACATTAATGTTCACATTTTCTGACCTATCAGCACAGGACATATGGAATTAAGGAGAGTCAAAACCTCACTGCTCTGCACATTTCCCGTAGGAACTTACATATTATGTCCTTTATAAACAGAGACAATGGCAGCAATGTGGTTTAAGTATTAGATTAGAAAGGAGCTGAACATCAGGGATCCAAATGACAAAGCAAGCAGCGAGCAGAAGGAGGTCACGGCAAGCTACTGTATATATTGTGAGTGAGAGAGATTCTGGAACATACCACCACAGGATCTGTCTCTATCTGTTTCTTGGAGATAAAACTGCATCTTTTTTCTCTCTATGTCCTCTTTTCTTGGTCCCTCTCTCTTCCTCCAGATCTCCTCTCCTCCTCCTCCTCCTCCTCCTCCTCTCCCTCTCTCTCTCTCTGTCTGTCGGCCTGACCCTGCAGATATGTGAGGCGATGCACGGCGAATGAATTAGCCGAGCAGAGGCCTCAGACAGCCCTTTATGGAATAGACAGACAGGCAGGGTGCAACACCGTGGAGAGAGGAGAAAGGAGATGGAGAGCGTGAATGAAAGGGAAGGGGGGGAAACGAGAAGCGATGAGACACAGGAGCAAACGAGTGGGATGAAAGGACAGACAGGTGGGACAAGATGCAAGAAACCGAGGGGGAGACAGAGAAAGAGGGGAGCACACTTACATCATGAAGGAGGAACGAAGAGGGGAGGGTGTATTAAGCAGTGGGGGAGGGAAAAGAGAAAAGAGAGTGATGAGACGAAGAAGATGAAGACAGTGAGAGAAATAGCGGGGAAGCCTGCGCAATGAGCGCAGAGAAGGGGGGGGACAGAGGGAAAGGGGGGGAGAGGCGCGATGAGAAGGAGGTCATCATCAGCTGCCTGCATTTTGTCAGCCCCCTTCTGAAATATTCAGAGGAGAAACACATACAAGGGCTTCTGAACTGCCAGCGCACACAATGCAGAATTGGCGCACATGTCTCGCAGCAGACTTAACAGAATGTGAAGCTCACAAGTGGAGAACAAGCCTCTGGAGGAGGAGAGGCAGTGTGTGCACGACGCGCACAACGCCCCTGCAGCACGCTCGACAACGGCACACAGTTAGGGTGCAAGAATGTTTATTTCAGCATCTGCCTTCCTCTCAGAAACATTACGAGTGAAATGATGACAATGATAATAACAGCATATTGAGAATGATGACGGGGATGGTGATAGCCCGGTGGACGCCTGCTGCCGGGTGATGATTATCATAAAGATGCCAGGAATGATGATGATGATGATGATGAAAGGTGCAGATACTAATACCGATGGTAATGATGGCGATAATGAGGTCAAACTGAGAGCTGGGGAGACGCGTTGAGGGGCGGATGCAAGCAGAAGAGATGGCAGAGCAGGATGCAGCGGTGCAGCGCAACCACAGGGTGGAGGTTTCCTCTGAGATCACACACACACACACACACACACACACACACACACACACACACACACACACACACCACACACACACACACACACACACACACACACACACACACACACACACACACACACACACACACACACACACACACACACACACACACACACACAGCACGAGACACATGCACAGCAGCGTCAAATGCTACCTTGTATGTTGCAAATCTAACTCTTAACATTGCACAATCCCTTTGAAATAAAAAGTCAAACCATCAATTTATTTAAGCTTAAGCTCTACAGTCTCTTCATTATGCAATATATGCTCAACAAAAGATAATCAGTTTCTACTCTTAGTAATGCTTGTTTTAAAAATTCAGCTTAGTTTTCATAAGTCCTAAAAACTATTTTTGAGACAGTTAAAGGTTTATATCCTTAATTTTAAGCTCTCAGCTTTAACATACCCTATTTTAATGTGTTGTGCCTTTCACATTTTCCTCTTAGGGTGTATCATTCACAAAACCATCTTCTGACCAAAAGAGTGTCATGGGTTTCTTGTAACATTTTGATGACGACCCTGATAACGTAATACGTTTTTTTCTGTGCCAAGGAAAGCATTTTACAGTGTTTTTAACGTGTCTTCTGTTTAATTAGATATTCAAATGAGTCATTAATAACCCAGAAGCTGGTTTTTAGACAATGCTTAGACAATGAATGAACAAAAGTGGGTCATTTCTCAAGGTTTAAAAATAACCTGATTTCAGAGATGACATTTAGATTTACAGTTACATTTGGAATTACATCATAAGTTGTAATAAATTGTTAATGCTTTGCGTAGACAAGACATGTGGGTTCAGCTTTCTGTGTCCGACAGCTTTTACTGAGAGAGCAGAACGAGAGAATAGAAGCGGCTGCAATAACAACAGAGCCAAATGCTGGAGAGAGCATCAACTGGGAAGCTTTTATGAGGCTGAGTGTATATAAAGTATATTAAAGTTAACCTCAGCATTTCTTAGGTGACTCCCTGTAGTGATTTGAAATTATAGAAATCTTTGCAGCTTCTTAAGGAGAATTTTTCGGGGAATATGAAGTGTATGGTTGTTACCGCACTGAAGCATATGGATGTAAAAAACATATTAGTATCGACTGTAAGAGGAAACATTTCAATAAGCTTAACATAAAGGTGCTTTGTTATGAGAATCCCTTAAAATAAACAGTATATGTAACAGCAGAGTATAATACGGTATATGTAGACTCCCCAACCTACAACACAATACATCTCACAGCATGAGATGCTCATTCCCTGCTAGTTTTAGAAGAGTAAGTAGAGAAAGTGTAGTAGGTTTTCCAAGTGTGAACTTCATATTAAGGCCCGATTACATTCACCCACAATATTATGACCACTAGAGCAGGTTTTGCATGAAACATATATATATGTTTTTAGATTCAGTTGTCACGCTTTCTGAGGATCATTATACCAGCTGTTGATAACAAATAAAAGGTTATAATGGAAATCACTAATAATAGAATATAGAAAAACGATGCGTCTCCAGAATTTGCCTGATCATTATGTTTATTTCAGTATCAACTTCAGAATATTGAAGGGGCAAATCTGCCCTTCTTTCAATCCCATGGCAATTTTATATACTTCCAAACTCAGAGCAAGATTATATTTAAAATAAAAATATATACCCATTAACTCAAATTATCTTGATCAATATTAACCTACACATTCCAGTAATGATAGTGCTCGTTTGAGGAAACCTGTGTAATAATAATAATAATAATAATAATAATAATAATAATAATAACTTACATTTATATAGCACCTTTCAGGGGACCCAAGGTCGTGTAAGATTTCCTGCAATAACTTTTGTGCTAAACAATTTAGAAAATGGCAAATTCTTTTGAAAAAAAGCCCCAGTCACTGACTTACATAACAACAACAGTTTTAATTGGAACTACTTTCAACCCATGAAATACTCCCTATGAAAACTTCTCACAGAGAGGACTTTGTTTCTGTTCTGTTTCCATCAAAACCTTGAGCAGCAAATTAGCTTTCATTCATCTCCTTTGTATTAGTGTCAGAGATGGGTATCTCAAAACCTCAGCATATAAAAGTGAAACTATCAGCATCATGGCTCTGCCAGCAAGTCACAAAATCATTTGGGATTTGGGTGATTTTGAGTTAGATATTATCGATTCGTGTAGTAAAGTCATTGATGAGTAAAATACAGTAGAGGGATCAATTCATTAGAGATCCACCCAAAACCAGCTCCTCTGAACCATATTTATATTATTTCACGAATGTACACATCTTTGGTATAATTCTTGAGGATTACGTTTAGTAGTTTCTTATCTTCTAATCTTAGTTTGCTAACATCTTGTTTTCAGGTGTCACTAACAGAGGTTTTAATTCTGCATACATGTGCTGAGACAGTATTTTAGGTTGAGGTTTTCCCCAAAACTTGCCTAATGTATGTCCTGAGTTGAATGTGCAAATGTATGCCGATGATGCGTTCATCTTTGTACACGGGAAAAACACTGAAATGATCGCATCT